CGACATATTTACCAGATTGTCATTTCTAATTTCAGCTGCTAACAGGGGTCATTTTGTTTATAGTGAATACGTGATTTTTATTTTCAATTTAATAATAATCTTATCATGGGCCTTTACGAGGTAATATTTACCATATTCTTTATATGAGACTTATATGAGATTTAACCAGCTTATTTTTAGTTAAAATTTAAATTTCATAATACTAAAGACATTATTAAGATCTTTCATTTCAATTTCATATTAACTTTAACATCAGCTTATTATAGATTTATGCCTTTATTTAAATCTAAAATTATTAATACCCACAATAAATATGCAAATATTCTTGTTTTTTGAAAATAAGAAATCGAAAATATATTATTATTACGTGGCGTTGGTCGTGCCTATGCCTATCCTGGGGTATCATGCAGCATTTTTGAATCCTCAACAATGTGTGTTAAAACGGGACATATTTCGTGACCAGGTTTTCTAGGAACTCAGGAGCATTCAAAAAAGTAACACGGCAAAGGGCATACTTGTTGTCGAGAACAAAGTCAAAAGCCATTATTGGCATAATCCTCCTTCTGGCGCAGTTGGCCAATAAGAAGGAATGGTCAACATACTTAAGCACAAGTACCTTCTCCCTAGAATCGTAACTTTGGTCAAGGCCTCAACTTTAAATGTGGCGATGATGATTACTTATATGCATTAGAGAAAACTTGTGAATTAATGAAAAATTCTCCTGGAATAAAAATAAGTATTGGGCAATTCATTCAGGCATGTAAATCGAGTAAGAAATTTCCTTACCTCCTTTGACTGCCTGCAAAAGAACTATGCAGAATTATGTATCCAGCTGGACGTTACCAAATTCATATCGCCGCCCACTACAGTCGCACGCGCACTAGACGCCGCAGGACCGGCCGCCGCGCAGCTAGCTGCCGCCTTCCGGTGTCACAGCCGCAGCGGTATCGTGGAACACCTTAGATAAACAAAAAGGAAGATACGGTACGCTCATACTAGCATCAAATAAAATATGATCCGACTCAACTACATAAGCAACTCTCACACACGCACACCTCTGTAATTAATATTTAATTGAGCAAGCGAGACAAAACTGTACGCTTCAACGCAGCGCGAGCGAAACAGCGAGTCCAAATGGCTGAGCTGTATTGTTTTACTTTTCATGATAACAAAATGGCGATTACGTACCTAAATAACATTTACGACAAACCATGACTTTTACAGTTTTACGAATGAAAAGTGTTGCCGAGGCGTTTGTTATTTCATTTTGAACTATTTATACAACACAATACAATACACAATACTTTATTGAAAACACGCAGAACAGAAATGAGGGACATTACAATGGTAAAAAGAGAGTGCTTCAATGGGCGGTCTTATCGCTAAAAGCGATTTCTTCCAGACAACCTTTGGATAGAGAGGATTGAAAGAAAGCTGGAGTCGGCGGTGTCAGTAAAAGAAACAAAGGATATAAACGAATTTATGAATTAAATATATATAAACATACATATATACACATCATATATGCATATATACATATTATATATACCTATTACATATATATATACATAGACTACACATATATAGGTAGGTTTAGTCCAGTCAGCAGAGATAAAAATGCAGCTACATCGACAAATATTGATTCACAACAAGATTTTTAAAGATATTAATAAATTGTGCTCGTCTTATGGATACTGGAAGAGAATACCATAGACGTATAGCATGGACGGTAAAAGAACGACCATAAAAGGTCGAGTCATGGGTAGGAATTTTTAGGGTTAAATTTTCTGATGACCTAAGAGATAACGCATTCGAATTATGAAGGTAATTAAAGCATTCCTTGAGATAGCGGAATTGAAACACATGGTCATATTTGCTTAAGCAGAATATGAACCGAATGGAGTGACGATTTGCGCAAGGTGGCTGGCAGGAGCTGGATGCGAGTAGCCCAAGATCGATCTGAGTGGCGTGCAATTGGAGAGGCCTATGTCCAGCAGTGGAATAGGATAGGCTGTTGATGATGATGATGATGAACCAAATGCAGAAATTTTGAAGTCGCTCAAGCTTGTTAAGCTGGTCCTCCGTGAGATCAGGATAGCTGGCGTCAGCGTAATCAAAAATAGGAAGTAGCAGAGACTGTGCTAGGGCAATTGTAGTGGCAATAGGAAGGAAATTACGGAGTCTCTTCAGCGAAGCTGCTGAAGCAAACAATTTTCGGCTAACAGCTTGTAACTGTGGATCTCAACTGAAACGGTTATTGACGATTATTCCTAAATTTTTAAACACTAAATGGAATACTGGTTCCAGCTAGAGTTATGTTAGGAAGTAACTGCAAATTCACTTTGGCAATCATCCTTGAGCTACCTATAATAATGCATTGTGTTTTGGAGGGATTTACCTCTAGTAAGGATTTGCTCCACTCCACAATTTATCGCAAATTATTATTGCTTCAGATAATTAACCGAGAGAGGCTTGTGTATAAAGGAGATTGCTCAAATTGACCCAAATGCACAAAAAATATTGACATATACGGTAATTCTTGGCGTAATTAATACTTTATTTTACAGTCATTACATTTTAACGGACACCTTTGTATAATAAATTCATTTTAAAAAGGACTTTTAATTTTACCGGTTTGAAAAACATACGAAACATTTTTAATGGCTATGGGTGTAGTAACATTCAGCTAAAGACTGATCGAAGTTGTTTATATAACATAAAATCAAATCTATTTTGTAAAGATCGATAATTTTTTTTTTTATTACACTGTGGTATTAATATCTATAGCTATATTACCATTTTCACTACATGCAAATGTGCTAAGACAATTATTATTATTGATGGTAGGCGACATCATAAAGTCTATTGCCATACATTTTTCGCCAAACACCACCACAAACACATTATAAGGTGTGAGACACTAAAAATCTAAAATAAGTAATAATGTAAACATAACAAAAATAATGAAGCTACTGAAGATATGTCTGTATAACCTAAATCTCTTAGCTTTCTTTGGTTAACGAGAGTTTAAAATTTCTCTCTAATCTGTGGCTCATTCACAATCATCACACAGTTTCTGTCACAGAGTACTTTCCTTGTTATAACCGGAAATGCATAGATGATACCTGATTTTAAAAATTACTCTTGTGCATTAACTTTAAAAACAGACAACTATCTGTTAATCTACATGCTCTATATACCTGAATCTAATACATAATTTCGATACTTGGCTTGATTTCCCTAGTTTACTATATAACTTATTTGTTTTTTACTATTTCAATACGTACCTATTTGCAAACATAACCTCAAAATCGTTCAGTGTATATGGTTTATAGAAGTTCTCAGGGGTGTCCGTCAATAATATTCGTTTCTACAGTAATTTATATATAATTTCGAATCTAGGAAACAATTTTTCATGATTATTGGTCTTTAGACCAAACATGTATGGAAGCTAAGCAATCTCCTTTGAAGATCATCTGCATGCAGGTGGTAGGAAGAAGAAATATTTTTGGAAATAGAATTAATAAATATAGCGAAAAGAAGAGGAGATAGAACGCCGCCTTGGGGAACACCACCAGAAGTGTCGCTCCATGAGGAAAAAATCTTATCGAGGCGAACCCTCTGCTTACGTTCCTACAAATAACTGCGAAACCACTCAATCACCGATAGAGATACGTTAAGTGAGCGCAGCAACGCCAGAAGAATGTCAAAATTTACAGTGCTGAAGTCCAATAATGTCAGTACCGTTAGATGACCTTTGATCCATCCCATGGCGTATGTCATCAGTGATTTTCAAGAGGGTAGTCGTGGTACTGTACCCAGGGCGGAAACCAGATTGGAGAGGATTAAAAAGGTCATGACGAGAGAGGAATATATTTAATTGGTTATGGACGAGAATTCCGAGGACTTTAGATAAGAAAGGAAGGATAGAAATAGGCCTAAAATCGGCAAAAGATTGAGGATTCGATTTTTTGGGCAAAGGGATGATTTGAGCTTCTTTCCAAGCCGATGGAAAAACAGCGTTTGCTAAAGAGCTATTAAAAAGAAAGGCAAGTATAGGAATTATATCTAGGATAGGTATCAGCATATTACGACTAATGCTATCATTACGTACCGCATTGGAAGATATGGATAGCATGCCCTTCTTAACGTCACATTCGGTGAATTGAGTAAAGACAAAAGGAGAGTAGTCAGGAACTGGTAAAGATGAAAGAAAATTTAAAGTATTAGTCTTGTGGGAATCACTAAGACTAGACGATGAAGAGAAGTGAATATTAAGTGAGTTTACATCGACGTTACTAGGAACAGACTTTTGACGAGCTTTACCAATTCCAAGTGACCTAAGGAAGTTCCACACTTTAGAAGGATCATTATTACTGACTGAAGCATGAATATGGCGACATAAAGCATCCCTACACACCATGTTGTAGTGATTACGAGCCTTGACATAATTAGTTTTATTGGAGTCTGTCGGACGAATTTTATATTTACACTTATCCACGTTCTTTTTGTGCAAGAATGCTCTTATATCTGGTGTCAGCCAAGGTGCTGGATGGTGCTTAAGTTTAATAGGACGAAACGGTGCATGTTTATCGTATAATCAGATTATAATATTATTAAAAGCAGACACTTGTTCATCTACAGTCACGGCATCAGTCACTAACGACCAGTCGAATCCATGCACGTCTTTTGAGAAACGCATCCCGATCCATACCACCAAAATTCCGCTGAAGAATGACTTTCGGCTTGGGCTTAGGAGGACGGATCTTGTATGATAATAAAACCAAGTCATGGTATGAAAATGCATCTGCCGAACATTGACCGTGTTTCATAACACATTGAGGAGAAGACACTATTATTAAGTCTAGAAGTGAAGGTGTAGTATTAGGGAAATGATGGGTAGCGCTAAGTGGAAGGATGTGTATTTATGTTCTTTATAAAAGCATCGAAGGCTTGTTTTATGTTTATAACACAGAATATACGCAATATTGTTATATTGAGTGCACATGCAGCGTGTTTGAATGTCCAATTGTGACTACAGCGAAATGTGGTCATGTACCACAATATTAAGAGGATCACTTTTCAGCCGCGAGTGTCGTATCTTCCCTTTTTGTTTTAATCTAAGCGGAACGCACCTTCTGCAGCCGACCGGATGGCCACAAGGATACAAGGAAAATCTGGTATGCTCTACCTCTCATAAATAAGTAAGAAAAAAAAAGAAATGAAATAATTGTCAAAAATACACTTTAATAATGCATAACATTTTCTACAAACACACTACCAAGTTAAACGCATCACATGATCAGTCTTCCGTTTTGAAGATTTGATAAAACCAAGGAACTGGAGCTCCGCCACTGCATGCGTGAAACGTACTCTGCAAAAGAAACAAAACAGGAAATGTTAAGATATAAGATCAGGGGGATCCAAAATAGCAATATTTTTAGGAAACACCTAAAATGTATTATATCTTAGTAGTCATTTTTACGCATTCTCATACAAATCTGTCTTTTTAGGGCGTGCGCTGCCTTACGCGGGAGCGCGGAGCGAACGTCCATCGCGGAGATCCGTTCCGTGATCCGTCACGGGTCCCGTGCAATAATAATAAATTTTATTTTCTTTAACATTGGTTTAGTTACATTATATACTCATGATTGAAGCCGCCATTTAAGCAAATAATGCCTGTGACAGGTGACTCCGCTCTTCCATACCTAAAATTACAGTTTGCTTATCGATCTTTATGTTTAAACAAAAACAGGGACTTATAAATGTAAGCACATATACCAAACAATAATAAATCTTTAAATTTTTACACGGTTTTAAAATAAAAATACAAAAGTCTTGTGTATTTTTATGTGTGTATGTTTATGTCGAGTGTGTGTATGTCTTTGTGTGTGTGTATTTGTACGTGTGAGTGGGTGGTGATGCTGTTTTTTTCTTACTTTTACTTATTGTAACAAGCCCTCCGTTTCCTCAATCAAGCCATCGCGGGACCCATCATTTCATATTATGTTCATTTGATGTTGGATAAAATTTCTTGTTATTTTGAAAATTGAAAATAAAAACACAATTTTATCCATACTAATATTATAAATGGGTGTTGAAAGGCGATGAGGCGTAGGGATCGTACCTATCGCAACTACAGAAGGGATCGTTCTGATGAAAAGAGGAAGCTTTACAAAGCTGCTAGAAACCGGTGTAATCAGATGATACGTAATGCCAAACGCCGATATATTCTCAATAACCTTTCCTCCTCATCTTCTGCTGATATCTGGAAGTTCCTCGGAACGCTAGGTATCGGTAAATCGCGACATTTAGACCTATCTAATTCTATAAACCTTAACGATCTCAATCGCCATTTCACTAGTTCTCAGAAATTGGATCGTTCATCTACAGCATCCACTATTGCTGCTATAATGGTTTAACGCGTCCTAATGTTGACCCTTTCTATTTTTCACCAGTCACACCGGCAGAGATCAAAAAGATAATACTTTCAATTAAATCAAATGCAATGGGATATGATGATATAAGCCGTCGCATGATCGCCACTATTCTTGATTATCTTCTTTCCGCTATAACACACATTATAAATTTCTCCCTTGACACTGGTACTTTCCCTATTCTATGGCGTAAAGCCTATCTCCGGCCTCTTCCCAAAGTTAATAATCCAACGCAGCCTAATCAGTTTCGACCAATTTCCATCCTCCCCTTCATATCAAAAGTGCTAGAAGCCTGCGTTCACAAGCAATTCTCCCAATTTATTCATAAAAACTCTTTAATGAACCCTCTCCGATCTGGATTTAGGCCTGGACATAGCACTGTTTCCGCACTCCTTAAAGTGACTGGCGATGTTAGGGCGGGGATGGAGAACGGTTTTCGATTTTTCAAACGCTTTTAATACTGTCAGTCACGATATTCTCCTTTCCATATTATCCCATCTTATGGTCTCTGACGAAGTGTTGACTTGGTTTTCATCTTATCTTCGGGACCGCCAGCAGTTGGTACAGTCTGGGGAATCATCCTCATCCTGGCTCAATTTGAAAACTGGTGTTCCCCAAGGCGGTATTCTTTCTCCTCTTCTTTTTTCAACTTTTATTGATTTTATAACTCACAAACTTCAGTGTTCGTATTATCTATATGCTGATGACCTACAACTGTACACCGAAGCAAATATTGATCATTTTAACAATGCCATTGATGCGATAAACAGTGACTTAAACGCTATCAAAACATGGTCAGACTATTTTGGTGTCACTGTCAATGCTGCTAAATTAATAGGTGGATCAAGAATGATAAGCAGAATTGACAAAAGCAATCTTGGGTCTATCTTCTATGACGGCACTTTGATACCGTTGACTCAAATTTCAAATGGCAGGATCAGGTAGGTAGTGTCTGTCAAAAGGTAACTGGAACATTGCGTGCTCTATACCGCTTGAAAAATTTTTTGCCTATCAACATCAAGACAACGCTTGTGCAAACTTTGATTTTTCCTATAATCAACTATGGTGATGTGTGCTTCCTCGATCTGAATGCAGATCTACTCAATAAACTTGATCGACTTCAGAATAACTACATTCGATTTATTTTCAATCTTAGAAAATATGATCATGTGTCCGCATACCAATCTCTTCTAAAATAGATGCCTATTAGGCAGCGCAGAAGTATGCGGGCTCTGACCACTCTGTTCTCCTTGCTGGATTCTCCAAATGCCCCTTTCTATCTCACTTCCCAATTTCAGTACTTATGTACCGCTCATTCTAGAAATCTTCGATCCTCTTCTAATCGCTTACTTATTGTTCCATCTCATCGCTCTGATACGATTCACTCATCCTTCTTCGTCAAAACCATACTTCTGTGGAACGAACTCCCTCTAGATATTAGAATGTCCACCAACAAAATCAACTTCAAAACCAAGCTACGAAGCTTTTTACAGGAACAAGCAGTCTAGCCTAAACGTTAGTTGTCATTATTATGTATTTATTTAGTATGTATGTTTATATATGTATATATGTATGTATGTGTGAATTTATATGTATGTTTATTTATATGTAAGTACTTATTTATGTATGTGTAATTATGTATATGACTACTTCGTATTTATATCTGTTCGTCTTTTTTTTCCATCTGATTTGTGCACCCTACCACTATTTATCCACAACACCCTATGGTTGACTGGTAGAGAATGCCTACCATGTTGAGCAAGCTGGCGAATATATCCTGAGTTATCCTCTGATTAATGCATAAGACGAGCAAACGAATGATGGAGCATGGGTTGAGAGACTTGGGTCAGGAGAAATAATTGACATTGGTAATAATGTTGACTAATTAACTGACCATTGATTCCCTTCATCGAATTGCATTAATGATATCATAATATAGTGTTAAAGTTAACGTGTTTTTGTTCAGTCTGCCTTTTGTCTTATCACTGTACTATTAAAAGTTATGATGGTTATTAAAGATTATGCATAAATCATTTCATTATTTTTTTTTAACTTTGCAAAAAGAATATCGCTAAACGCAATGTATATTTTTTATTTTATAGATAGGTCCGACAAATGACTCCACCCCACCTGATGTTAAGTGAAGGTGAAGTCCAGACGCTAATAATAATAGAAGAGAGAAGAGAAGGAGAGAAGAAGATAGCTGATACAGCAGTTCTACCTGCCACACCAACCATCCTCACCCTGCTGGCCTGCATGTTTCTTCTTCACGCCTCTTTTAAAGGATCCCAGGTTGTAAAAGGGAGGGAACACGTGAGCGGGCAGAGCATTCCATTTGCGGATAGTGCGGCAAAGAAATGAGTCACCAAATTTCTTTGTCTCGAAGAGTCCAGGAGCTCTACTCGCTTTCTCCGAAACGAAATTTCGGCAACGAACGAATTTTAAACGAAATTTCGCCAGTGACTCTACTCTATTTCATCTTCGAACACTCACATAAAGTTCGAAATCACAGAAAATTATCGTCAACGAATGGAATGAGTTATGTTTGTGAGTTCTTTTCATCTACACTTTTTAGATAACGTCTTTTACTTCAAAACAATATTAGTTTATGACAACATTTTTGATTACATTAAAACAACCTCTTTTGACATTGTTAGCCGACTAATTTGTAGAGTTGATGCAAGCGAATGTATGTCAACCTAAATTTGTCGTGTAACACTTTGAAGTATTGGCAATACAATAATAATCAAAAATTAGATTTATTTGTAAATCTTTCTTACTAAAAAATGTTTCTCACGCTAAGCAGCCTTAATTAAAAATACTCTAGTAGTAATTTTAGGTTTAATTTAAACAAAAATCCCAAAACGAAAATGCTTTTCACTTCGTCAATTTGAGGTTAAAATTTCGAACAATTATCTGTCAAATTCAATTTTTAGTTCATAAGTTTTGTGAATTAGAGTAGGCTTAGAGAATTTAAATGTCAAATTATTTTGGGACGAACGAATTTTCGAAATGAAATAGAAACAGAGTAGGGAACGTGCGAAATTTCGATCGAAATTTCGTTTTTCGTTGAAATAGAGTAGGCCTCCAGGCAAATAAGGGAGGTTTGTTTTTCCGATTGACTGCCTGCAGAGGAGATGCGCCGACCCGACGGACGGAAGGGCCCCCACACCCCCCCAGGATATTTATCTAAACATATTTGAACTATACTACATTCACGAATATGAACCGACTTTTCTGTCACTAGCCGAGGTGCCGACGTAGAGGCCCCCTTTACATGTCTTTTGTAAACGACCGTGCGATGAAGAAAGCGCCCCACTAACTCGTTTTATTGTACCTATAAAGCGAGAAGTATACTGATTCTATTGCAATTTTAGAAGAGGCAATTTAATATTTTATGGTTTATTCTTGTATTTTACTAAAAACTAACGAAAATAATAATAGTTTTCTTATCTATTGTCACGTGACCCAAAACGCTTGGGATTGGCGGAGCCTAAAATGACGTCACACGCAAGTAAACTTCCGGTTAAAGTGACATTACATTGTATCGTTTGCGTTTTAATAACAGTCGTGTGATGTCACACACTAGTAAGTATTGTCCAGAGAAACGATTTCGCGGCAACTTGAAAATGGAGTTTTTGATTTGGTTATATATACACAACAGAATGATGAATATTCACTTTTTACGGACTCCATAAACATTAGACAATAACGTGAGATCGTTTTCTAAAACTTGTCAAATACCCTATTATGACAGCTTAATATCAAGTTTGCGTTTGTGTTAAGATGACTGGGATTTAATATTTTAACTTTGGTGGATTTGTGAAGGGACAACCACAAGCCATAAAATAAAAGGATTTTATACGGCTCGTGTTGGTCGATTTATTTACCGATTGTTTATTTGTTGTGAGTGGAATTATTATGCAAAAGTTTAGTAACTGCAAAACTTAAATATAAATATCAATTAAAGAATTTGTCTTTTATTTCCGCGCAGGTATAGTATAAAGCAATATATGCATCCCCCGAAAGAAAGTGCTATTCTCAACTTGGGTGCATTTCGTACCTCAAACTACACCCTCGTGGGTAATCGGTCACTTTCCCGCCTCGGTAAACAATGTACTATTCAGAGGCTCAGCAGCTCATGCGCTCAGGCTGGCCACCGGCGCCAGGGGGATTCCGATTTCCCTAGTGTTAAATCGGTTATCTAGGCGTCAGGAGATTTAAATGTCGGATAAAGGGAGGCGAATATGACGACAAGGGCATAGCTCCTAGGCCCCCAAAAGGCCATACTGCACTTCGTGGCAAAGGCAGGGTGGAGCCGTCTGGGAGCCAGGAGAAAAAAAAACAGGAGGACCCGATTGTATCGACGACGTCGGAGGAAGAAGTAGAGAAGCCGAAAGCAACGACACCAGCTCCAGCATTAGCAGAGACCAGAAGGAGCAGCCATGGTCCGCTTAAAATTAAGACTAAGAAGGGAAAGCAGTCTCAACGACCACAGTTAATAAGAAACTTTGGGTACCTAGTACCTGTGCAGTTCCAGTCGTACAGGTTGATGTGTTTGCACCACGTGGAATATGTCTGTGTGTGGTGGACGATATTTACTGTATGGCACACGATACTTACTGTATGGCACCCGCGTTGTCGCGTTGCTCATGCTCTGGCTTCAATACGGCCGCGAAAGCCTGCAGCCAGTCGTACAGGTTGATGTGTTTGCCGCACTCGCGGTGCAGTTTGTACGCGACGCACACATCCGGCAAACTGCAGCAAACGGAGTCTGCAGACGGCAGCACGCAACACGAACACTGCCAAATCCAATCATATCAATAAAACACACTGGTATAAAACGCCATTTAATTGTCAGGATTCGTAGTCGCAAAGCAACCACATAAATATCATCATTATTCTTTTATTATCCCTCAGAAAAAAAACTAAAGCATAGGGAAGAGTTGAAATTCAACTCATACCGACATATAACAAAACGAAGAGTGATCGTCTGTTGCCTGGTCCGCATGGTTTTTTTTCTAGTAAAATTATCTTTAGTTTTAAACATCTAGCACTTAAATGCTTAAAAAATCCAAAAATATAACGAAAAGTGAAGTTAAATCTGGACTAAAAAAAAGTGGCTTTCACTTTTGTTTGCTAAAAAGAAGACAGAGAAAGCATTAGGTTTAAACCTAGGAATAACTTTAGTTCACGTTTTGGAATTACGGGGTTTAAGTCGACTCATATAGTTATCTTATTTTTACATATAGACCAGAAAAGAAGGTCAGTTTCTCTCTTTCAACTTATTGCTATGAACAGCGTGCCAACCACTATACAAACGTCAATTTGGATATCTTTGGCGTTTGTACGCCTTGGATACCTTACGATAGCAAATCAAAAAACGATCTAATGTCAAATGAAACTTGCCAATACGCCACTAAAACTTTTTTGTTGTGTAATACATATATTCTGTGCGGATGTGTACGTTTAAACGTCATTGCATTATTTCTATCCAATACCGAATTCTAAAAGTTTGCGAGTGCAAAATGTCATTGTCAAATTTTGTATGTAAACTTGACAAGCAACGCCACATCGGACGTTACGAGAACTGAAAATCAGTACACACTTGACAATGACATTTCGCACTCTCGTTTGAAAATTCGGTAATGGTTCGTGCTAGGGGTACAGTTCTAATTCTGAGTATTAATCCCTCTGCTGAGGTACACCACTATCTGCTTCCTCACGTTAGCCAAGTCGCTGAAGAAGAATATCTCATGGAACATCTGAGAGAATCTACGCGAATGCAGAATATAATTTATTAATTCTAGCTACCTATGTCGATTATCAATCTCACCTGTAAATAATGCACGGGATTACTAAGGGCGGTGTGTTGGGCCCCTCTAGGCGAGCCCACTATCTGCTTCCGGACATTAGCCACGTCGCTGAAGAAGAATATCTCGTGGAACGTCTGCGAGTGCGGTGGTCGCAAACCCTTCGTGAATACCTGCTCCAAGTAACTCACGAATCGGCTCCGAATCATTTCGAACTCCGATTGGACTCTATCCACCCTTGTCGCTTTGAGCAGTTTCTATAGGAACAACAGTGCAATAACAGTAATTAAATTACAGTCAGAGGCTTTCATTTGGGATCCATTTCAGAATATGGCCTTTACTAATAAGTCCAAATCTTCAGAACATCGTGTACACGTCAAGTATTTTTTTTTCTTTCAATTTTTATATGGTGAGAAATAAAGGTCATTATTATTATACATTTTAAATCAAATTACGTCTTTATTTGTGACAAAGGTGACTGCTATGCTTTGGTCAATTCATACTAGCGCAGAGTCGAACCGTATCGAAGCGTCAATCAGAAACGTAACAAAGAAAATTCACCCTTATCTTTTCAAAGTAATACACATACTCCTTCTGAAATAAAAATAAGACAGGCGAATTCGCTTACATTTGACGCGATTCACACGTCCATACGTGACTAACGCTGATTTTATTATCAGCTCAGAAGGAATGTGTGCATTGCGTGGCGAAGATAAGGGTGAATTTACTGTTACGATTCTGAATGAGATGTTTCGATGCGCTTCGACATTACGCTAGTATGATCTGACCATTAGGTACTGCATATTGTACCCTCACAGCAACAAAATAATAAAAGTTAAGTATATCGATAAATTAGACCATTTTTGATCCATTTAAAAAATGCATTGGGCCTAACAATTATATTAAAAACAACTGGAGATTGGATAAGCACTATCAGGATATTTGTAAGAAATTAAAAGCAACAACTGCTTTAGATTGCATTAAAAAGACAAACACTGAAGGATACCACAGGCCTAGATTTATGTAGACGACGCATACGCTTCAAATTGTATGAAAACAGAGCGTGTCATATTTTGTGGGCTAATTAATTGGTGGAAAATCATAGGCACCGGCAACCCGATTCAATTCTATTGTGTTTACACAGGCCCAAGAGATAATTTTTGACAGCTCCGTAACGTCTCGCATCGGCAGTTTCTATGAAAACTGAGCAGCGCCCTATCGGACGTGAGTAAAAACTAGCTTTTTCCATACAAAATTAGACGATGACGATACGTAACGGAGCTGTCAAAAATGTATGCTAGGGCCTCAGATTATTATGGTAGATAAAAAAATGCGATAGACATCCGTATCGAGAACAGTGATAAAAAGAAATAAAATAACGAAAACCTTTGGCATGTTTTGGCACGTGAAGTACATACACTTGCGGTATCTATTTCGATCTATGTCTGTGGAGAATACCACACCATATTATGTATATCTTAATGTGATTAAAGTGTAATGTTAAAAGATTATTCGATCAAACATAATTATTAAAAATATAATAATATTACTCAACGAATTAGAAGCGATATGGAAAACGAACTGCGCTTAAAAGTGGCTCTACGCAAACTGTGATCAAGAGGGCGGGGCGAAAAAATACGATCAACACGTCGATCATTCGATTGGTTGGGATTTCCGTTAAACATTATGTTACCCAAAGAATGGTTCGCCGCTTTCATTTGCTTTTGGAAATGGTTGCAATCATGTTTAAGCGGCCTTTATTAGAGAGTAATGCTTCCATATCATATCTAATTCGTTGATATTAATTGAGAAATACGAACTAGAGGAAACAAATTATTCGTAGGTACCTCTTTTAATTTGTATCTATTGCCGGGTACATTTTCGACATCGTCCTCCAATTCTTCGTGATCATCCGAGAAAATTGTAGCCTCAGTCTTGGCGTGTTCAATTTGTCTCAGGAACATCAGCAAATGTATTCTCACTGTTTTGAGGAAATTTTCTCCTAGATCATTTTGCAAGGCAATGTTGTTCACGTTATTTTTTGTAGGTGTCGACCTGAGAGGTTTGATAGGCGACACAATTTTTAACATGGAATTGACTAATTTCAATGAATCCTTTATGCTATCAGCTAGCTTGACTTGCGATTGAAATTTGATTAGCGTCATACATTCTCTAAACGCTGCTGTGCTTGTGATTGGTTCTACCGCACATTTTGTGTAAACTTCCCGCACCTAGAAAAGTGAGACTTATAAAAATCTAGAATCCAGTTTAATATTAAGTTTCGAGCCATTCATAATAGTTAATTAGTACTAAACTAACTGGTGCTTGTTAACTAAGTAATGGTGTCGGTTCTGGCATGATTATCTAAACCTAATTAAAGACAACATTATATCTTTGTCATTCTCTATACAGAATGAAAAGGAGAGACTGATGTTAAATATGGTTTTAAGTTTAGAGAGTCGTACCCGAATCGTCACCATTGTATCCTTTACTTCATAAAACAAAAAACAAATTTCGCCGCACCCCATCTGTCTGTATGTTCACGATGAGCTCAAAAACTATTAAAGGTTTTTTTTTTATTGTTAAAATCAGAGGGTCAATGTACTTTCAATGATATTAATTAATAAAGTATATACTCACTGTCTTTCCCAGTATATTTTTTGGAATGTCTTTAACATAACACAGCAGCAGTCTAACGCACAGATAAAAAGTGTATATATAATCATGAAACTTATGAATTTCCTTCACAAGAATTTCCCTAAAGAAATCGTCATCCTCAAAAAGTGCTATTTTAGTCTGAAAATCTAGTTGTGCCTCAACGAACGGTCGAAACGACATCAATCGTCTGATGGTTTCTAGGTCATCTGCACTTAGATTCATCACTGCTTCCTCTACCTTTTTCCTTTCACAGCATAACGACTTCACATTGTCTCCGTAATAATGATCCATCATACAATACTGCAAAAATAAATAAAAAGGTATTTCTTTAAAATATATCTGGCGTGACGACCTCCGTGGCCGAGCGGTTTATACGCCGGGTGTCATGGTGTCGCCGACTCGAGAGGTCCCGGGTTCAAATCCCGGTGCGGGTAGCTGTTTGTGTGATGAATACGAGCATTTGTATTCCAATCATGGATGTTTAATATATGTTTCTATATAAATATACTTATATATGTACAATATAATGTATTCTATCCGTTACCCTAGTATCCTCTTAACACAAGCTTTACAGTGCTTAGTTTGGGGCTAGGCTAATTGGTGTGAATGTTGGAAATATTTATTATTTACATATAAACGAAGTAGTAAGTAAAAGGATCTTGATGGCGCAGTGATTAGCTCGGTCTGCGATCGTGGAAGTAGAACAACATTCCCAATGGCCGGTCATAGGACCAAAATCTTTTTTGTATCAAGTTCTTCTGTGCTTCGGAAGGCCATTGGTCACAACTACATTTTCAGTCGTTAGCACCTACCAATCCACACTTGCCTTTTCTCCATTCCATCTACAAGAGCCCTATACTTCAACAGTATTGACACTTCGTTCGCGCTAACTTTAGCATTTTGAGAATCTCTCTGGAATATAAAATTTTAATGGATAAATATCTAAGATAAAAATCGACATGTATCAATTTAGATGATAAACTATAAATTTGATAAATTTCATCCAAATGCGTTCAGCTGTTTTAGCGTACATTGAGAAGCCAATGTCTAAAGTGGACCAGGGACAGGGAATCATTAAAGAGAAAAGTTAGGGCATAGCGGACTTCCCACTCCATTGGAGCGGCGATTGAGTTGCTTACTGCATGCCAAACAACCTTTTGGTGGTATTGTGTTTATGTTGATGCTTAGATTAAATAGAAAAAGGGAGATATGGTACGCTCTTACTTGCGTCAAGTGAAAAATTATCACACTCAACTACATAAGTAACTGTCCCACACACACCCATAAATAAACATTTAATCGAGCAATCGAAACAGAACGGTTCGTTTCAACGAAGCGCGAGCGGGTCCGCGTCGCTTAGCTGTTGTTTTCTTTTCTCTATCTACAGACGCCTTTATTGCTGTCCTTGATAACAAATAAATATATAAACCAGTAACATTCAAAATTCAATATCGTTTATTCAGTCTAGGCTGTTACAAGCACTTGTGAATGTCGAGAAGCTACACTATCGGTTCGCAAATCTACGGCGGGAGACTGAGAAGAACCGGCAAGAAACTCACCAAGGGCTGTTTTTTTTCTCCCTGTATTATGTACAGAGTCGTCAAATCATCCATGACACACCGTGATTTTTGAGAAAAAGAAATATTTATAGTAATGAAAAGTGTTGCCGTGGAATTTGTTTTTGAAGTATTTTGAATTTTATTAAATAATCAAAGGCATTGTTTTATCTTTTTAACAAAAAATATCCGCGATTATTGTTATATTGAGTGCAGATGCAGCGTATTTGCATGACAAATTGTGTATAAAGCGAATTGTGTGCATGCACCTAATTTAAGCAGCGCAGTTTTGAGACACGAATGTCTTCCCTTTTTTTGATTTAATTTTAGTGTTGATGACGTTTCTAGGTTCCACTCAGTAGAAGATGATCAGGGTAGGAAACAAGTGATAATGTACTGTACATAGCAAGCATCTAAAGTCTATTATAAGAACGCTTTCCTTGAGCTAACCCTTAAAGTGGTTTACCACCCTTTTAACATAAAACAATGAGTATACCAAAAATGTATTTGCAAATTCATAATATTATTCAGAAGTACTATACATGTATATGCATACCTTTATACTTTGAATTAATCCAGTCACAGAAAAATCATAGAATAAAAACACATCTGTTAACAGTTCAAAAGCTTTTCCAGATAAATGGAAGGTGCTGGTGTGACTTAGAAATATGTCTTCAAGTACCTGAAATTAGTAATATAAATTAGATACGATGTGTATGTAAAATATTGTTAATTAAATATTATTTATCTTGATCTGTTTTCCTAGTGACCTTTTATTGTTTAATATGGATGGATTTTTATTTAATTACTATAGTGGCATATAGTAAAAATAGAAAGATTCAAGCACTTTTCAAAAAGGTTCTGGTACTTACTTGATTCATATACACAGGCGATGAATGTGAATGAAAGACTTTTATAAGCAGCTTTGAAGATACATGATAAGGGAATGACTTGTGCAACGCTGAGACAGAAGTTGCTACTCCAAACACAAATACTATGGGTAACGACGAGACATAGGAACTGGAATTATGCAATCATAAATAAAAATTGGCACCAGGAAAAGTGCAAATGATCCCTTATTAAGAAAAGCAATTTTTAACACCCTTCTTAGGTTTCTTAATAACATTGACAGCACTGTTACACTATACAGTAATGTGTTTAAAGTAGAGATGGGTTTCTGCCCAGGCATTTTGGGCATATTCCGTATTTGCCCAATAAATGTCCATTTCTGTCCAATAAATGTCCTTAAGACTGGGCATTTATTATTTTAGTTTATTTTTTTGAGGTAAATAACTTTATTTAAATATTTGATGATTTTATAGAAAAAGCAAATTCTTTTTATTCAAAATGTATATTTCGGTCCATAAAATAATATTTTTATGACAAGTGTTACGAAATATGATTAGGTATTATTCATTTGGAGTGGTTTGGGAACTACCAAAAAAATCATGAACTCAACAAATGGGTTTTTTGACCAAAATTTGCATCTCTTTCGCACGATGCATAAGTGACCTTGAATAAACCAATCAGAGAGCCTCGATTCCCATCACCTTCTCTGCGTCTCTGGGTTGTTCTTTGTTGGTTATCAGATGGATCCATTTCAGAAGCCCGTGTGCACTCGGCGTACCCGCGTACTTTAATAGTAAAAAAATATTTTTCATAATTTAGACAAAGTTTCGGCTATTTTGGGAGGTAAGTAATCTTTCTCTCATTCTTGTCTATACTTTAAATGTTTTTTCTGCATTGATCATTTTGGTGAAGCCAAGCCTGTGGGTGGCTATTTTATTTGATCAGTTAACAAAATAATGGTTAATAAAATATTCTCATTTCATATAGTCTTTTTATTATTACTTTACTTACTTACTTTTAAACTTAATATTCATCATGTCAGCTGTACGACGCCTACTGCTGATCATAGGCCTCCCCCAAGGATCTCCACACCGATCGGTCCTGCGCCACTCGCATCCATCGACTTCCCGTGACCTTCACAAGATCTTCGGTCCACCTTGTAGGGGGCCTGCCCACTGAGCGCGTGCGTGGTCCAGAACCTTTTCGCCCCAACGCGTAGGAAAACACCGAGCATCGCTCTCTCCATTGCTCGCTGTGTGATCTTGTGCTTTCTTATGAGACTCGCAGTAGACCACGTCCCGCTTCCGTAGGTCATCACTGGCAATACACACTGGTCAAAGACTTTTGTCTTGAAATACTGAGGTAATTTAGACGCGAAGACTTTCCGTAGCTTCCCGGACGCTGCCCATCCGAGCTGAAAGTTGGACTTACCTAACTGGACTGTCTGCCCTAGCTTAACGTAACAGTCGGCAACTTCGAATGTAGTGTTTCCAATTTTAGCTGAAGCAGGTACTATATAGGCATTTCGGGTTATGGCGCAACCGGTCCACGATGGAGGCGGTGGCCCTTTTAAAGGGGTGGACTTACCTGCGGTGTCGCTAGACATACGCAACGCTTTTAACAGCCTCCCCAATGAGTGTATCATGGAGGAACTACGGTTTCATCGAGTGCCTCCATACTTGCGCGCCATCGTGGAGGACTATCTACAGGGCAGGATGGTCCTCTACGAGGGGCCCGACGGGCGCATCTGCTCGCGGGCCATGGCCGCAGGTGTGCCCCAGGGTTCAGTGCTGGGTCCACTGCTCTGGAACCTGGGGTACAACTGGGTGCTGCGAGGCAGCCCCCTTCCTGGAATGGAGGTTGTCTGCTTCGCCGACGATACTCTTGTCGCGGCGAAAGCAAAGGAGGTGGAGGATGTGGTGAGCCTAGCGTCGGTCGGCACATCGATGGTCGTCCGACGCATCCACCTCCTGGGCCATGATGTTCCATGGCCCACGTCGCAGTACCCATCCGGGGCTCCATATCCGGGTGGAGGGGGTCCGACTACCGGTCGAGTGAAGCATGAAGTACCTCGGCCTGGTACTAGATCCCCGATGGAGTTTGGAGGAGCATTTTAAGCTCCTCACTCCACGGCTGTGTGCCGCTGCAGCCGCACTCGGCAGGGTCCTCCCGAACGTGGGTGGAACAGGTACTGCGTGCCGTCGACTGTATCACGGGGTGATACGGTCGATGGCACTTTACGGAGCTCCGGTTTGGGCTGAGTGCCTCAAACCCCGCACGAGGGCCCTCTTGCGACGTCCGCAGAGGGTCATCGCGACCCGGGCCGTGCGAGCGTACCGCACGGTACCGGCGTCAGCCACGGCGCCGCCTGCGTGCTCGCAGGCGCGACGCCGTGGGACCTCGATGCGCTGGTTATGGCAGAAATGCATCGAGGTCGGGTCGAGGCCAGGGAGCGGGGTGAAAGACTTGCCCCAGCAGAGCTGAGGCACTCGCCCATGCTAGCGCCGGCCACCGGACGATTGAAGCCATTCGTCCGGTGTTGGAGGAATGGTTGGGTCGCCGGCGCGGCGGCCTCACGTTCCGCATGGTGCAGATCTTGACCGGGCATGGATGCTTCGGTCACTACCTGCACCGTGTCGCACGTCGGGAGGAGACGCCGCAATGTCATCATTGCGGCGCCCCGGACGACACGGCCGAGCACACCTTATTGGAGTGCCCGGCCTGGCGCCACCAGCGTCGTGAGCTGTTTGCGGCGCTGGGATGCGGAGCCCTCATGGCCTCCACCATGCTCCGCAGCGACAGGGCATGGGAGGCGGCCGAGAGGGAGCGGGAGGATGATCCTCTGGCCGCTCCCTCCCGCCAAAGGAGGACGGGTAGGAGGACGGCGCCCTCGCTGCGCCCGTCCCATGACCCTACCCGGGGGGTCCCTCGCTGACCGGCATGGCGTTGGCTGTGCCGGCCACCGACGGACCTCGTGACGGCAGCCCCCCCCCCTTGTAGTTCTGTCCTGCAAAGAGGGGGGCAGCGGAGGGAGCTACACGGGCACACCCAAGTAGCCCTTCGCAGCGGACGGGGAGCGGTACGGTGGGCATTAGGCCGCGTACTCAACCCCCACGCGCGGGCCTACCTGCGCACGTCTGCGGGGTCCCCGTGATACCCCGGGAGACCCCTGCCGTAGAGCCCCGGCTAGGCCGGGAGGCTGCTAGGTGCGGAGACGCGGAAGAATCCCTAAACGGGGATCCCGCGGCTTCGCGCTAAGCAGCTTAGAGGGTATTAGCAGGACTTTTTTAGCGGATATTATGCCGTAAAGCGCCCGTAAGAGTTGCGGGGTCCTCGGTGGTCAGCCACTGGGGCGCCCGTAAGACTTACGGAAGCCAGGTGTGAGGTCCGTTCGGCGGTGTGACTCTTAAAGACGCCGTCGTTTGTAAATAGCATTTTTTACCTGCGTTATAAAAAAAAAAGGTACTACATAGGCATTCGACATAATTTTCGTCATATCCATGTTCATCTTAAGACCCACTTTTTGGGAAGCTCTACTAAGATCATCGAGCATCGTGTTAAGATCTTCCAAGGTTTTAGCCATAAGAACTACATCGCTGAAAGGTACTCGCCATTAATGTTAATGCCTCGTTCTTTCCAATCCAGAAGCATGAAAATATCCGCCAATGCTGCTGTGAACAGTTTCGGAGATATCTCATCTCCCTGTCTCACGCCTCGCTGCAGTTGGATAGGATTAGAGCGCTGGTTCTGTAATCTGACTGACATAGTGGCGTTTTCGTAAAAGTACCTTAATACCTCAACATACCTGTAGTCTACTTGGCACCTTTGAAGAGACTGTAACACCGCCCAGGTCTCAATCGAAAGCTTTCTCATAGTCCACGAACGTCAAGCAAAATGGCAGATTATACTCTTCGGTCTTCTGTATAACCTGCCACAGCGTATGAATGTGGTCTATGGTACTGAAGCCTTTTGGGAAACGGGCGTGTTCGGGAGGTTGAAAATTTAATAATATAATATTTAAAATAAGGTAAGATTTGACTTTTTTTGACATTCAAATCTACAATTAATTATAAAAGCATAAATCAAAACTTATATTTGTTCCATCAATACTAAAAATGCGAGGTAGCTATAAGTATAACGACTGATTTTAATGTTAATGAGTTAAGATGAACACTTTTGATTTTTATATGAAGGACCCCGAAGAAAATGCGAGTAAATTGTTTATTAACTCCATAAATCAGACTTAAACATGTTATATAAAGCTTATGAATTTTATTTCTGTTATATATAACCTAACCTTTAGCTTTCTCACGTTAACAATGATATGAACGAACTCATTTTTATTAAAATCAACTAGCTATTTGCCACAATTGTGTTCAATGTTTACATTTGAAACGTGGTAAGCTTTACCGAGGATATTAGATTTAAAAATCATTTTTGTGATGGTATTTTTATCTTTTGAGTTTTTGCCCAGCGACTGGACATTTATTTGGACGTAAAAACGTTTTATCCCAATTTGCCCAGTGTATGCCCTTTTTGCCCATTTGGGTTTTTACCCTTGACCCATCTTTAGTTTATAGTTATATTGTACTAGCGGCTGCATGCGACTTCTTCCGCATTAACTTAAGATTTTTGAGAATCCCATAGACAGCTAACATTTTTCTGGGATAAAAAGTATCATTCCATGTCATAAACTGTAAGCTTACCAAAATTTCATCCAAATCCATGCAGAAGATTTTGCCTGATTAAGTAATAAACATACAAACATTTATATTTATAATAATAGTAGGATATTTGTACTGAATCATATTTGTCTCTCTCATACTGATAAACTTTCAATATTCTTCTGCTTAATAGGGGATAGTAACTATTAACACACTAAATAAATATACTAAAAACAATATACCTGATAATCATAACAAAATCTTGAAGAATACTGCAATTGAAACTTTCGAAATCTGGTATAATTATTACTAACAGTCTATTGGAAATTGTATTTTTCTTCTTCTTTGGTGATGCATTTGTGTAAGTGGTACTGTACCAATTTTGTAATACTCTCATGGTACATTGATTCTTTTTGAGTTTTTTATTGGGACTAAGCCCAAACTCACTATCATTGTTCCCAACATCCTGAAAATAAAGAAAAACATCTTGTTACAGACACTAATCAAATAAATAAATATTGAACAATCCAATATAATTCTCTACTGAATTATAAAATTAACATTGAATAAAAAAAATACTTTGTAAATAATTCAATATTCATTTACAAAGTGCAATTTATGAACTTCTTTGTTATTCGTGTCTTATTGTTTCCAATCTTTAATGGATTCCATGGTTGCCTGAATGAACTTTATATTAATTATGCTATTTTTTTTATTGTGCTCCTTCCAATACATCTAGAATAATAAAAAAAAATATAATAAATGGCACTTTGTACCTATAAAAAAATATTTTATCAAATATTTGGAATGTGTGAAAGAATAAAATAATAATACAGCCATAATATAAACCTGATTAAATTTACCATATTTGTTGAACCATTTATTAACTGCCAAACAGCATTTTCGACTAAATGTTTCAAGGTAGATGCATCTTGTGACTCCACCAACGCTACATGAGGTGTGACATCTTCCCTGTAATTTGAAATTGTGAAAGTTTTGTACTACTTATACTACTATATTAAGTTCAAGTTATAGTTAGTTAAAATAAAGTTTTCATTATTAATAAACTTTAATTGTAATTTGAAACAGCACATTTTTACAGATGAGTAAGTTTAAATAATACTAACAATACCTACCTTAATTTTTTTATTAAAGCTATGAATTGAGATGCGTGATCTGGCTGATTAACACCTGTCAAGAGTGTAGCACTTGGAATTATTCCTTCCAATGTATTAAAGTCAGTATTGTTGTAAAATGACTTGACATACTCCACTATGTCATTTAGGAGAATACTGTAGGTCCTTTCATGTAGTTTCTAAAATTTTAATTAATAGTTGAAAAAATCAAATATCATTCCTATTTGTTATAAAAGAATACTATAATTTTTCAACCATTTATCAGTAACAGTACCTGTATTTCATTTTCTATGTACTGCCAATTAGATTTGTATGTTGTATACCATGGCTCATTTGTAAAGACTTTCTCAAAAAGATTTGTCTTCTTTTTACTTTGTTTTGATTTGTTGAATTTATTATTAAAGACAAACACACCCTGAAAATAAGTTTAAGTTACCTAACATTGGGCTTTAAATAAATTAGCATGTTTACTTAACAATCAATAAATTTTGTTTATTAGAAAAATCTATAAATATAAAAATCAATTGCTGTTTGTTTTTTCTCCCTAAAACTTAAGAACAGCTGGACGGATTTAATTTATCTTGGTCTTGAAATGTTCGTGGAGGTCTAGGGAAGGTTTAAAAGGTGAGAAAACTCCGAATTCTACACTACAGCTCTACACCAAAGCGAAGCGAGGGCGGGCCACTAGTAATAAAATGAAAATGTAAGTAGTTATAATTGAAATATGCGACATCGACGACTTCTGCAAAAAATATAACGGCATACAAACACAGGTTCCAATATTATACTCTAATGACAAACATTGAAAAGTATTATTAAATAGTTTGGGTAAAAACTTTATTATGTATTCTATCTAGTATAGATACGTAAATTTACACATAGATGACCGATAGCCATAATATCTTTAAAATGAAATAGTAGTTGTAATTATATTAAATGAAATATATTACTAACCTTTGAAACAGAAACGGTGGATTCCATAGTCTGCTCCTTTGTTGCAGTTATAACTTAAAATTAAAAGTTAATCAGATATATGAAGACATTTTATCACAACACCTATTTAGTTTGTTTGATCAACTTATTTTTGATCACAAATTCGTCCATATAAAACTGTGAATGGAAGAGGTTATTTATTCCGCCTGATTTTGACATTGACAGTGGCAAGAACAACAATTTTGGCGCGAGATTCTAGGGATGGACGATATACATTGATGTATTGTAAACTCTGGATTTATTTCGACAATGCATCGTATTGAATAGACAGAGTACTATGTTATATTACAAGTGTTGCAAAAAATATAATTTGTCAGAATATGCTTAAAACTTAAGATATCATAACATAAACTGAATTGTTAAGCACAATGAGGGCTATCGTGTATAAATCCGCCGCTAGAAGCACTTAAGGCCTATACAGATATGAGCGATAACGCTGTCGCGCTGGGTAGCACTACCGAATCGGTACGCGATATCGCGACATGCGCGGTAATCGCTGTCGCGCTCGGTAAATGGTTAGTTACTATTGTGCCGTAAACTACTTTAGTAATAGCGCTTAGATTAGCTTATTGTAATCATAAGTAAATTGTAGTAATTAAAGATATGCAAAATTATATCACTAATGTTTAATTTTCCTCCAATCTCATCCCATATTTTATTTTTCAAAAATATGTTTTTGTAATCTGAATGAGCTAGCTAGCTGAGATATGATATGTCATATAGCACTGGATATTTACCAACTCAATAACTTTTTCTATTTCAATTGATTTCGGCATGATCTCGAACTCGTCCATGCAAAAACAAATAGCAATAAGTGCACGTGAGATGCGCCTCGCAGGGAGTGAATGAAGGACTGGCTGGATGCGCTGCATATGCGGGGAGGGGGCAGGTATTTGCTACGCGCCGTCCGGCGCCGCGCTGTCAGGCGATATCGCGTACCGAGGACAGCAGCGTTTTCGCGTACCGATTCGGTATCGCTACCGAACGCGACAGCGTTATCGCTTATATCTGAATAAGACTTTATGCAGCGTGAGGTCTCCGAAATGTCAAATATTGTTATTTGTAAGTTGACTACGGGTGTTTATTGAAGTTATACTTCTTTAGGCGCGTTATGAAAAAATGATGAGAGTGAAATTTTAAGATGCGCGCGCATCACTATAACACAAAAATTAACAAACTGTTAATTTGCATGCATGCATGCTGTTACTTTTGTGTTTACCGCACATTAAGAAAATCTACCAACAAAATAGAAATAGAATCTCTATGCAGTATCGACTGCATTGTGAAGGCTTATCAAAAGTATTTATTAATCTGGAACAACGGAACCAAAGCGCGATTCAGGAGACTACAGCGCCATCTCTTGACCATTGGTGTAGTAGAACCAAAAACCACATCTTTATTTTTTGTAATAAAGTAACAGTTATAGGTATTCATATTTATAATATTTATCCACATGTTTGTAGTTTGTATATTCGGAATACGTGTTTGAGTTTCATACAAGTGCAAAATCACATATGTTCTAATAAATTATATTCAGTAGCGATTTTAATTGAATATTTTGATTATTTATTTATTTTTTCAAATTAAAACTGAACTTTATTGATTGTGTCCTTTTCCTGACTTTTTATTAATTTATTGTAATTAATTATTTGCATGCAATTAAAAACTAATTTTAAACGATGCCAAAGAAGGATAACTTCTCACGCGCCTACATAAGTACACTCACCCATTTTTTTATTTAGACGTCACTGGACCTTATTAATGTAAATTTCCTAAAATATTTGCACGTTGACATTCAACAAAATATGCTGGTAACTAAAGAAATATGTAACAACTATTGTAACCATATTTTGGCAAATAAATTATTATTATTATTATTATGTCAGTCAGTCACCTTTGAGTTTTATTTATATAGAAGAATATAGACCTTATTTCTTTGATTTATTTATTTTATTTTTTATTTATTTAAACTTTATTGCAACATAACACAGCAAATGGCGGACATAATGCCATAAGGCATTCTCTACCAGTCGACCAGTAAGAGCATGAGAAAAAACTGATATGACGGGGGCGCAATAAAGACAAATGTAAGATAAACCAAGGATACAAATACTCTTGACAGAATACACACACATAATACACACATACATACACATACATATATATATATATATATATACATAGATACACACATATACATACATACAATACATACATAAGTATACGATTATGTCAGTCATATATGAGAACGCTGTTTAATGCTATTGAGATAGTGCTCACGAACCAATGCCCTAAATGCAAGTTTGTTAGGAGCCTTACGTATATTGGGGGGCAAGTCATTCCAGAGACGTACCTCCGTGACAGTGAAAGAGTAGCAGACGAAGCCAGAAGAATGGACGGGAGTATGCAGAAGGAGATTGTCCGTTGAACGGAGGAAACGGTTATGAGAATCACTCAGAAACCTAAATCTGCTTTTTAGGTAAACCGGTGTATGTGGATCGAAGAGAAGTTCTACGCGCAATGAGGGCTATCGCGTATGAATCCGCCGCGAGAGGCGCTAGTGTAGCGTGAGGTCTCCGAAATGTCAAATGTTATTGCTTGTTGGTTGACTACACGGGTTTATTTCTTATTAAAATAATGTTGTGAATAATTGGTAACAATTTGGCATAATTATGGCAAATATGAGTTATGTGGCAATGAATGTCAGTTATTAAAAATTTGAGCTTAGAAAAATGATTATGTTCCCATTTTTTCCGAATAAAACGGAACTGGGCGTCACTGTGGCATGGCCTATTATGTTTAGGATATGGTTCTTTTGTGTTAAAATACGATCTAAATGTAACGTTTGATTTCATGTGCGTATTATTAAACTTTAAAAGTTACAATTTAGGACCTCACTCAACAGTGGCGCCATCTGGTGAGACAGAAAACAGGTACGGACCGCGAGGAAAAGAGACGGCTATATGACCGATCATGCATTTGAATATCACAAATCATCATCATCATCAGCCTATTAATATCCTCACTGCTGGGGCACAGGCCTTCCCTATGGATGAAATGGATGTAATGGTCTGCACAGTGGCCGTCTTAGGGGGTGGCGAACAGGGCAATCGCCCAGGGCCTCGCTCCTACAGGGGCCTCGCGCAACAACCCAAGCAAATTTTAAAAATATAAAAAAAAAACTATTTTTTCAATGACACAAGATCGGCTTTCAGCCCTCGCTATTCTTTCAATCGAAAATGACGTAGCTTATTCGTTAGATTATTGTGCTTTAATTAAAGATTTTAGTCTTAGGAAAAGCCGCAAACATCAATTTTAAAATTTATCATCTCTGTATTTGTTAATTCTGTGAATCTTTCAATGTAAAATATTTTAAAATTCAAATTTGATTTATTTGTATAATTTAAGCATCTTTCCTTAAACATGACAAATACCTAAACCAAATAACCAGACCTACTTTCGCATCACATACTTTTCACGAAGGACAAAGGGCCTCGCAAAGACCTGCCGCCCGGAGCCTCGCAATGGGTAAGGCCGCCTCTGGGTCTGCACCAAAATATCAATCACACGATCGATGTCAACGTAACTTAATTTATAAACCTGACTGAACTTATAACCTACGACCTACACAACAAGTGCGAAACATTAATTATGAAAATAAACTAAAGAATAATGGACCTTAAACATAAGCATTTCGTTTTACTTTTTAGGGTATTGCATTGGCGCGAATGCTTCTTCTCTTCTCATTAGCACACAGCACGAGTCGTGCGTGCGATCGGAAACGTACGATAATTATCGTACACATACGATAACTTCATGCCTACGTACGATGTACAATATCATATTATTATCGTACTCGATTTGTTTTGTGATACGGATGTAGATGAATTCGATAGTATTCTAATGCCAAAAGAGAAGTTTTAAATAAAAATATTAATGTTCTGAAGTGAAAGTAATATTAATAATAGTTTTATGATTGTTAGATTTTGTTATTTTATAACTTGAAGATTATATGTAAAATGTTGTAAAGTTGCTTTCGAGAATATAGAATATATTAGGATAAAAGTCTGATTATATTCATCACTGACCTTTTTTTTTTTTTTTTGTTACCAGGGGAAATGCAGTTACGCACCATACCGTGACGCTGACTAGGCGCACGGCGTGTGTGGGACTCGCCGGCACGGGAAACAGTGCCGACCCTAGACCAGGATCAGTGCGGAAGGCCACACTGATCCTACTCCACTAAAACCCCCCGGTACCCTCCTACGCCCATATGGGGGCGTCTCAGCATCGACGCACCTTAGCGTGCGCCACTTCACTGGGACACCCCCGGGCAGACCCGGCCCAACGAGTGGACCGGGTGACGCGCCTCAGGGGGAATGCGCTAGGGTACTAGGCAGTCCCCAGACGTGGTGGCCTATGCCGGAGCGGCACCTAGGACGCGCGGCTGGTCAGGCCGCGCCCTGACCACCTTAGGGCCGTCGAAGACCGGCCACCCGGCCCAACGAGTGGACCGGGTGACGCGCCTCAGGGGGAATGCGCTAGAGTACTAGGCAGTCCCCAGACGTGGTGGCCTATGCCGGAGCGGCACCTAGGACGCGCGGCTGGTCAGGCCGCGCCCAGACCACCTTAGGGCCGTCGAAGACCGGCAGTCACCACTGCCTGCCTCCTTCAGCCCACCCGTCTACGCCGGAGAGGGGGGGGCTAGAGCGTCCTCCTCCCGCTCCCTCTCCGCTGCCTCCTTCTGCGCCATCACAGATTCGCAGAAGGAGGCGGCCGCCCTCCAGGCTCTCTCGCTACCAAGCATGGCTCTTACCATACTTGGCAGCGTGAGGCCTCCTCCGCCGAGCGCCGCGATCAGATCGCGGCGCTCATTTCGCCAGGCCGGGCACGCGATCAACGTGTGCTCGGCCGTGTCGTCGGGAGAGACGCAGTGATGACACCGCGGCGTCTCCTCCCGACGGGCGACTCGGTGCAGGTAGTGACCAAAGCATCCATGTCCGGTCAGTACCTGCACCAGGCGGTAGGTGAGGGTGCTCCGCTGGCGCCCTACCCACTCCTCCAACACCGGACGAATCGCCTCGGTCGTCCGGTGGCCAGCGTTTGGGTTGGCGAGGGCTCCACCCATCGGCGCAGAGCCTCCCTCTGCGCCTCGGTGCGGACCCGTTCAGTCTCCTCTAGAACGGGTCGCTCGCCCCGCTCTCTTGCCGCGACCCGGTGTTGATGCACCTGGGACAGTACCAGGGCATCAACCTCCCACGGGAGCGTGCCTGCTAGGACGCAGGCAGCCCCGTGGCTGACCGTGCGGTAAGCCCGCACGGCCCGGGCCGCGATGACCCTCTGCGGTCTTCGCAGGAGGGCCCTCGTGCGGGACGAGAGGCACTCCACCCAGAC